TTTCAGAATTTATATCTTAAATGTAATAAGTAATAGCATGCTATACATAAGTTGTCCAGAATAGTCCATAGGTACTACTAACACCTGTGTTTCTATATAAGCATTTATTTTAAATAAATCTATTAATAACTTTACTGAATTTATTTAGTTTTTAGTTGCTTTAAGAAACCCTACTTTTAGATCAACTAATTTTGTATCTTTCATACTTTGATCATTGTAACATTATTCAATCTTATCATCATAGCTATAAATTAAAAGGTGCTCAACAAATTTATCATAAGTTTCTGATGTGAATGTCAAATTGGTAAATGCCTGCTTTTGTCCTATATAATTAAGCCATAATTGAGAGAAAAAAAATAAGTAAGCATTTGATATAATAATATTTATATTTATACCTCCTTTATTATGAACATATTTTTTTTAATTATCAGGATTGTAAAACAGGATAGATGTGACCTCTGGTAGGGCTTTCAAAAATGTTGTAACAAAATGTGAAATATTATAAGTACTTGTTACATCACTATAGTAATATTTATAGATATTGTGAAAATTATCCATATTAAGAACAACAAATTTTTGTTCTATTAAAAAAATATATGATTAATTACTATATAACAAGACCTATAGAAATATTTATAAACTTACATTATTAATTAAAATTTTTTCTCACTGTTGTCACATGTCCTTCTAAATGCTGAGTTTTCTGTCTTATGATAGTTATATGCCATACTGACAGCATGCATCAGCTAAGGTTTTTATACTAAAAAAAAAGTTCCAAATGCATTCAGTAAGCATTCTATCTTCACTTTAATTCTATTAATGGACTTGTTATTAAGTTCTGCTAAAAAATAATAAAACAAAGCTAATCTTTTTTTATTTTTTTCATTAGTCATATTATTTTTAGATTGTGAATTAGTTCTAATTACTAATTGATTAAAAAACTTTTCTGTAATAGTTCAACCTCTTTAAGCATTGTTTTGAATTCTTCTAGATCTAAAATAAGCTTTTCATTATATACTCATTATTTTATGTATAATACCCCTGCTATTAGCTTGATCTTTTTACTAAGAGGAATTAATTCTAAAAAAATTTAATAATATAAAAAAATAATTCTTAATATAACTATAGCAAAATTGCTTTTTTTATCTAATTTTATTTCTTCAAACTCTGCATATACTTTGTTATATACAGTCTTCAATTTCTAAAACTGGTCTTCAGAATAAATAATATCATCATGTAAAATGTATGACTTACCTTCAAATTGTCTTAAATTATCTTTCAAAACCCTCTCTTTTGTCTATAAATAATCTAATATATTAGTATGTTCAGGATCCTTATCAGTTTTACACAAACAATGATGACACATAATCATCTCCAGTAGTAATTCAAAAAATCTAACTAGCCATTCTGGAGTCTTCTTGAACTTCTTGCTTTCTTTATTGCCTTTTGCTATGAATCTATATAAATCATGTTTTGAATAAGAACAGGTGTTAGTTGCTTTTTTAGCATTTGTTATTAAATGATTATGGTGTTTTTGACATAATGCCATTCTGACCAAGTTCAAGTATTCACTTGAACTTGATATTGTAACTTGATCAGTTACAGTAGATGCACTAAACTGCTCATAATCACAAACAACATTGTCTTGACTAGAGATGGGCACTATGCAACATGGTGCTTAATTGTTACATGATTAAAATTATGAAAATTACATCAGATGTTACTTTTTACATAAATTATAATATGTGATGATTAAGCACCATGCTGCATAGTGCTTATCTCTAGTCTTGACCCTCTAGATCACAGTGCTAGGCTTTTCTTTTTCCTCTTTTTTCGTTTGAAAGAGGTATTTCTCCATTGTAAGGTTGCTGGGTGGCCATTTTGCATCTATTTCTACTTTAATAAATTGCTAATTACAACGAACTAAGAAAAAACTCTTCTTAGCTAATTTCCGAATTACTTCGAAGATTGTCGAATTACTTTAACTACTAATAGAGAAATATGTATTCTTTATAATTTTTTTTTGTTTCAAACTCTGCGTGTGCGTTCCAGGGGCTGCGTCTCCATTTTTGTGTTGAGAAACGTACTCGTGTAACATTTGATCAACCATCCAATCAGATTTTAAGTTCGCTATGCTAATTAAATGCATATACGTAATTAAAATATAGTACGCATTGTGTGTAACGTATTATAATTCATACTATATAATTAGATAGCTTAAACGCGTAAGGTTAATGTTCACAATTATAATGCATAACGGATAACGCATACTATTATATAATGCATATAGTTAGGGTTGAAGAGGCAGCTATAGATGTAACCCAAACAATTTGGGGCGTCCCAAATAGTGATGTATCCCAAACTGTTTCGGCATTACGGATACAGCCGGGATTTGGGATTTGCCGATATTTAGAAATTAATATATATTACAGTATTGATACGTATATAAGTGCGCAATATATTCACTATTACTACACACGAAAAATCTCTGATAATTGATTTTTATACAGAGATCGTTTAAAGCAATGTGCAGTTAGAGTTACTTTTTTGATGGAGTTATGGTTTGGCCTATAAAGATATCAATAATGTAAATATATTAAATGCATATGACCTTCATATATTAGTTTTGATTTTCGTATCCCAATATTGCACGTAAGATTTCAATAATAGTGTCAAAGCCTCAACGTTATTTGGATCCTAGTTGCAGCAAGTTCCTTGGTTCCCGGACCAAATCTTCCACGCCTGCTTTCGAGTATCCTTCATTTTTGGTTGTGTTTTAGGTGGACCATTTTTCACCCTCACGATGTATGCAAGTGCCTAAAATTTCTAAACTCATCAATACATGTATCACATGTAAATTACCAAGCAGAAAATTATTGAATTAACATTTTCTATTTATAAGTTAGAAAGTACCAGTAAAGAATTTTAAAGGAGTATCATTTGTATAATAAATATTTTAACACATTCAAATAAGTATGTTTTAAAAATATTTTTGCAATAATAATACGCATTTGCGTGTATTTGAACATTATCTTAAAACGCACATGTACGATATTTTGAATAATTTTGTAATTAACATAATAAATTCGCGTTATTACTCATATAATATTTGATAGTTTAAATTTTTTAAAAAAAATTTGTGTTTGGCTAGCTTGAAGTATAATTATCACATGACGATAGGGAGCTTGGCACACCTAAAATAATTTGACATGCCATTTAGCAAATAGCGTGCAAGGATACAACCTTGGCGTACCATGATTTAAGTCTGATAAAAAAAATATTTTCCAGAACATTAATAAAATTTTGCCAATTATATTATGTGAATATGTATATTTCGCTACTGCACTAGCAAAAAATCCCTTGCAAAATTTTGCTATAAGCTTCGTTACGATCATAACCTCTAATGTAATGTTTTATTAAACTATCATGCATATTCGCTGTTTTTATGAGATTTGATTGATCAAATTTATTTCGGATGCTATGTAAGTTCAATTCTATTGGTTTTTACTTAATATTTTATTTTAAAATCCTTAATATCCTTTCGTATTTAATAAATATGCTGGAACTAATTATAGCAGACAACTCTATATAGTTATACAAATACTTCGATTACTTATACATGCCAATTCTCTATAAAAAGAAATAGGGTCAATGAATGATTTAAGATGAAGTTTAGTAATGAAAATCACAAACCATTCCTAAGTGACTAATTATTAATGTCCTCATCTATTCTATAAATTTCTTTGTTAAGTCATGATTAAGCACCTATCGCCTTTTACAAAGCTTTATCATTAGCAGTTCTTGAATTTCTAGAAGTGGCTAAATCCAGGAATACTAATTCAGAATTAATTTCATTTTTGATTACATTTCAAGCCACATTATAGCAGCAAACCCAGCATAAAAAAATAACAATATGATAGGTTGCGCGAAGCTACAATGGAATAATAAGAAAACATAATGATCTTCTATAATAAACTTTTTTTCAACGCCCATAAGCCTTCAAGTGTCTATTATGTAATACTCTTAACAAATAGATAATCCAATGCAAAATGCATGTGACAAATATCATTAAAAAAAAAGTATCTTGTTGAAGTAATTGGTATTACACTAATTACATATGTAAAAACTCCATGTAATGCTTTTAAATTTAATTAACGAATAAACCCTATATTAAAGCTACTTAAATTCCACACTTAATTTTATTGTAAGTTGAACCGGAATTCTTTAACGACCCGGGCACATTTTAGAATTCTATTATAACCTATGTTCATTTGAAATCATCTTAGGTGCAGTCTAAATCTACAATAATTCCATTCCGACGTAAGACAATTTTATTAGAATATACTAGAAATCTGATGTAGGTCAGAAGCGAAAATTGTATTGTTACACTGAATGCAGACAAATAAACAGTTTTCAGTGAATGCACAGTTCTAATATATAGATGACCTCTATATATGCATTTTTTCATATTGTTCTCGAAGTGCACAGTGTTAAAGGTTTGTCCAAGTACATGCACTTATAGAAGTTTACTGTATATGAGTATCGCTCGACCTTTTTTTAATTTTTGTTTTTTATAGTTCTCTATCTCTACCCAAGAGCAATGTGTACGAACTAGGGATGTGATCCTACTTATCTGAACTCTGTTCGTCCCTGTTCCAAACTCGAACCCGTTAAACTCGAGTTTTTTTATCATGTGATTTTAATTATGTAAAATGAAATTGATTGTACTTGGATCGAGTTCGGAACTGATCTTATGAGTGAAAGTTTAAATTTTGACTTTTAGTTAAATGATATAATGTTATCAAATAAAATATGAATAAATTAAAAAAACAATAAAAATTTTAGATCAAGTAAATATGACATTTTTTGTTTATTAAAAGTTAATTTTGATGTTTGTAATTAAAAGATAAAAAAAAATTAATTGCATAATAGAATTTTCTCAAATACTATAAATGTTTCATGTTTTATTCTTTATTTATTTTTTTCATTATTTTTATATAATGGATGAAGACAATGTATTTGAAGAACCTTATACAATGGATAAAGACAATATATTTGAACAGCCTAATATAACAGAATGTAGTTCCACATTGATTTCAATAATATCTCAAAATACATTTGAACCAGAAGCACTTGTAGAAATAATAAACCTAATAAACTGATCCTCTAGACAATTGAAATGTGATTCTTTCTGGAATGAACTAATTGAAACCAGTGATAAATGTTAGTGCAAGCATTGTGACAATGTCTATTCTTTGGATATGAGCTTTTCAACAATAAAAAAATATTTTAAACATAATCATCTAAATCGATGGAATGAATTAATGAAAATTATCAATAAGACAAATAATGAACCACCTTATAGTAGAGATAAAATATTTGAAATAAATCAATAGTTTTTTAAATGGATTTTCATAAATCAGAAACCATTTTCTCTTATTGAAAATAAATATTTTCAATTATTTATTAATAAATTGGCATCATGATATTATCTTTCTTCAAGGAAATTTATTGCACAAGGTGTTTTGAGATTGTATTATAACAAGCAAAATGAACTTCATGAATTTTTTAATATAAATAAATAAAAATTTGCTATTACAACAGATGCATGGATTTCATGTACTAATCTTAGTTTACTTATTATTATATTTCATTAGATCAATGAAAATTGGATCATAAAACAGATTTTATTGGATATGATACTATTTCATAAATAACATACTGACAATTATATAGCTGAAAAAATTTTAGAATCAATTTTATATTATAATATTAGTTCCTACATTATTTCTATAACTACTGACAATGTATCTAACATGGACATATTTGGATGCATATTTTATAAGAAATTTTGATACAAATATGGTAATCAAAGTTTTGAATATGTTCGTTATATATCTCATATATTAAATCTTGTCATTTCAGAAGCTATAAAAGTTATTGTTAATTCAATTTCAAAATTAAGAACTTTGTCAATTATATATGAAAATCTCAACTATTATTTAAAGATCTTAAAAATATTTTTTAAATAAATGGAAGGTCTTTTTTTGTTCCTGATTTAGATATATCTACACAATAGAATAGTACATATGTTATGATCAAAAAAATATTTTGAATTCATAAAATGATTGGTGAATTTATAGAAGATAATCCAACCTTAAAAGATCAATATTTAAATGAAAATGAATAACATAAAATTGAAGTAATGTTATAATTTTTTTTTATTCTTATTTATTATTATTATTATTATAATTATTTTATTTTTTTTATTTTATTTAAGTAATCTTTAAGTTGTTTGAACCTATAGATAAAGAAACAACAATCTTGTCTTCATCAATACGTTCAATAATAGGAGATCTGCATATGATATTTCTAACTATTTTAGATATTTTATATAATATATTAAATAGTGAAATCTGAATAAAAAATCAGATTGTCAGCAAATATATAAAAAACTTGATGATTATTGATCAATTCTTTGAAACTGTTATAGTATATCTGCCATATTGGATCTGGACATAAAATTATCACTATTTGATAATGAGATAGCAATAATTGTATGTGAAATGGTGTATAACATTTATATACAATATACAAAGGAAATTAGCATCTCATTAATTATTGAAAATGATGATTCTCCAAGAAATTATTTTCAGAAGCATCATAATGAGAGTCCAAAAACAATCCTCCTGAAGAATATCTTACAGCTACTGAAGAACATTGCAACCCTCTTGATTTCTAGAAAAACTGATCAGGTGATGCATGCTATACTGGACTAGCACAAATGACACAAGATTACTTAATTGTTCAGGCCACAAATGTATCTAGTGAACAGATGTTCTCAAAAGTGAAGGATACAATTACCCCACTATGTAATCAGCTATCTGAAGAAAACATTTGCACAAACCTTTGTTTAAAAACTTGGTACGAGTCAGGTATTATTGATAATATGGAGTCAATAGTAAATAAATAATACTATTGCTATAAATACATTATGTGAACATATATTACATATAACAAATATATCATGATTATGTATATAAATATAAATTTGCATATATTCTTATAAATAACGGGTTTTAAATTAACAACCATAATTCATAATCATGTGTATAACCAGTTTTAAAACCGAATGTGAAATCCAGTTTATGTATGCGTTTTGGAACAGTGTTCGAGCGGGTTTCGGAGCATGAACTAACCAATTTAAGCAGGATCACATCCCTAGTACGAACGTGATAACTTTGTGACTGTTATCCCGACAGACACCTATCAAAAAGCTTAAAAGTCCTGACTATCATTCTATGCATACCAAAGTGAAGATTCTTTGTGTCGTCCCGACAGACCACCTGCTAAATTTTGATCCAATTTTGCTGACAATTGTTTGTTAGGCCACTCATGAAAGTAGGTGAGGGTGTGTCGAAAAAACCAGACTTTGTCTGGTTAGCAGAAAGACTAAACCCTTTACTTATGCCCTACCGATTACGAATCAAAAGCTACATAATTAAATCATTATTATAATAAACTTTACCGATGTACGTTGTTACTATAACAGACTTTAACGATCACCAGATCGCAAATCTAATTTTACGGTATTCGACAGGCAAAAAAAATTTGAGCAGATATCAATGCATCTCCTTTCATCTCACAAAATCAATAACTCTATCTAATAGCTCTATGTTTGTAGTACACATGGGTGCCTAAATTATTTTGGCTTGCTGTAAATAAAAATGGCAGAAATTATTTTGGGCTGCCTAAACTGTAAATAATTTCGGCAGCCGAAAATATTTTCTAATGCTGAAAATATTTTCTGATATTATTATTATACATTTGTGCCTAAAATATAGGATACGTATCATTTCATCGACGATCACTTTACCGAGCACAGCGTAAGGAGTGAGTGATATTGAGCAATAATTATTCATCATCTCTCTGTGATGGGGTGTTCGGCAAAGCGATTGTCGGTGAAATGATACGTATCCATTATACACACATGCGGCGTGTGGACAGGCAAAAGTTTTCTAAATTGCCATTTTGATCCAATTTTTATAAGATTTATATGCAAATGTATCAAAAAAAAATTAATTTTCTGAGTTGCACCAAAAACATAGCTTTAGTTATTCATGGACGCTAAATTGCCTTTTGGCTTGCTGAAAAAGAAAATTGCAGAAAATATTTTCTACATCATTATTATATATGTGTGCCTAAAATATTGGATACGTATCATTTCATCGACGATCACTTCACCGAACACCCATCACACAGTATAAGGAGTAATATTGAACGATAATTATTAATTATCAAATAATCGTTTAATATTAGTCATCGCTTTGCGTGATGGGGTGTTCGGTGAAGCGATTGCGATGAAATGATACGTATCCATTATACATGCGTGCGGGCAAAGATTTTCTAAATTGCTGTTTTGATACAATTCTTATAATATTTATATGCAAACGTATCAAAAAAATCCAATTTCTATGAAAGAATTGCATCAAGCCGTAGCTTTTGTATCGCCTTATGTAGAGATAAAGCTCCGGACATTTATATGGTCTATGATATAACCATGTCTGAAGGACTTTAGAAAACGAACCCACAAAAAATGATCGTCCTTGTAATTTTTGACCAATCAAAATTTAAAGATCAGGTGTAACGTAATGGTCAAACCATAATCTGTGTGTAAAATTAAGCCATCATGTTTAGTGATGGGCAATGTGCATGACATGCACATGATTTTTATAATGCCGGCGAAGCAATATAATGCTGGTAGATAATATGAGCTGGAAATTTTCAATAGGTTCCGGAATGTTCCGAAAAATTCCCATGCGCGAAAAAATTGGAATTTGCACATCACTGATCATGTTAGAGTTACAGTTAGATCAATACAGCTCTATTAGTAAATTTTACAAGAAACACTTTTAATTAGGCCGCAGAAGGTGGCACTTTAATTAACTTGTATGTATAACTTGTTAGATCTATGAGCATTTGATGTCCGGCTAATTATAAAGTATTTGAGTGTCAAGTTTTTGTTTGATTGTGTTAAGCACTAGCTAAAAAGTTGTACAAAAGGAGTTGGTCTTGTAGCTGCAATAAACTATGGGTTTATTTTTTCGGAAACTGAAATAATTACGGCTGCCAAAAATAATTTCGGCTGCCGAAAACAATTACGACTGCCTAAAATAATTACGACTGCCTAAAATAATTTCGGCAGCCGTAATTATTTTCGGCATTTAGGCACACATGTATATACAATGCTATGAAAAGTGCAAATAACGAAACTTTTCCCAAAAAAGTAATCATCGAACTGCATAGAATTCAGCAATAATAAAGTTACTATACAATCTTCAAACTATTTCTTTTTGGCGCAAACAAAAAAAAAAAGGATGTAAGAAAGAAATCAACATGAGATTGTTCCAATATGAGGTCGATTGGGGGTTTTTTTATAAATATTAATCATTGACAAACTGTAAATACTATTTGATCTCACATTGGACTAGCAAATCTTGGTTCCTTGCTCGAAATATTTCATTTTTGTATAATTATTAATCCCTTAATTTGTTGTATAGCGATAGAAAAATTATGATATTATAAAATTTTTATTTCGATTTTTACTAAATATTTAAGTTAAACAATTCTAAAAATGCATTTCTGCATATTTTTCTTTCAGGTACTAATGTATACGAATAATTATTTAAATGTGTTAAAATATACTATAGATAATAAACAATAATGTCGAGAACCTCAAAAAATCTTGCAAGTCTGGAATTAGTGCCAGGTTGATAGACAAATTAAGGAAACCACTTTTTTATATACATTTTTCTTATGAAACCGTTCTTGGCGCTTTAAGAAAAAAAGATTCTACTCATAATTTTAGTATGGATTTTATCCAAATCCCTTCTTATATCTCCCACTCCAATTTTAACATTAATATCAGTTTAAATATAGGCGAAGTTTGTCAATTAGCGTAATCTACCACACTTTTCGGTCTTGCAAAATCAGGTTGTAAATGGTAACTTACCCAATAGTAAGTTACTGAAAAAATTAAAGTTACCTAGGTCTTTGGGTAAGTTACCGAATCACATTGTAATTAAGGTAATATCGATAGTCAATAAAATATAAATAGTTGGTAAGTTACCTATTGATTTGGTAACTTACAATAAAAATTTATAAATTATAGTAATTTTACAATTTTGATCTGTATATTTAATTCTTATATTAAAATTTTAAAAAATATCGAACCTTAATTTTAGATACTATAAATATAGAATTTTTGTAATATGTATACTTTAAAGCAATTTGATAATTTAATTATATATATAATATTATAAATATATTTTTTTAGTAATGCTTATTCTATATAAAAAAATAACCTCAAATATATTTTAACAGACTTCTTTATTATTTAGCAAAGTATCTTGTTTTTAAATAATAGTTAATTAATAAAATAAGGCAATTATTATCTCAACTTGTATGAAAAAGGCTACAGATAAATAAATACAAGTATTTAAAAAATGCATATTAAGGAAATATAAAGTATTAAATTATTATTTAAACAAGTATTATATGGGATCTTTGCTAGCAAAATTTTTTTCTAAAAATAGATTTACTATGATTTTCTTAATAAAAAATCCCGTGTAACAATGGCTCGTAAGGTTATTTTGCTAGCAAAGAACCATATTAACTTGTATGAAAGGAACTACAAGCATTTAAAAATATATATTGAAGAAATATAATATATCAGAATATTGTTGTCAAAAAGTGATTTTCAAAGAAATAAAGTCAAAGAAATAATCAAGATCTTTTATACTACATGAAATTAATTTGAAGAGTTTAATTGTTATTATCATTAAAATTTTAACATTATATTTACAAATTAATTTGGTATATACCTTTAAGCAGCTATATATAATTAGTTAAAATATTTTAGTTATAAATCGTTATAAAAATTTTAATAAAAAACTTGTCGAATTTTATACTTACAGCGATTTCATTATACTGTATACAATTAATTAAGAAGTTGAGTTTTTGATTTAATTATACAATATTACATATAAATATTCAATAAAAAATTTGTAAATTCTATACTCACAAGCTAATAATTTAATTTCATATATATTAATTATTTTCTTAATTGTAGATTATTATATAATTTTAATAGTACAATTTGTAAATATACTCACGTACTAATAATTTAAATTATATATAATTAATTAAAAGTATTTCATTACAGATTATAAATTTTAATACTTACCGCCTAATAATTCACATGAAAGGATTGCAAAATATTATTTAATTAGGATATAATAAAAATTTGAGCAATAAAGCATTTCATTTATAGATTATAAATTTTGATACTTACTGCCTGATAATTTACATAAAAAATGAATGCAAAATATTATTTAATTAAAGTATAATAAAAATTTGAGTAATAAAGCTTATAAATTAATTTTATACTTACAAACTAATCATTTATTTATATACAATTAGTTAAAAAGTTTAAATTTTTTAATAAGAATAATAAAATTTGTATAAATTAATTTTATACTCACATCTGACTAATTAAATTAATTAAAAATTTATTTAATTTTAGATTGCTATAAAAAAATTTTAATATCAAAATTTATAAATTAATTTTATACTTACTGTGGGCTGATAATTTAATTTATGTATAATTTATTAAAAAATTTGTTTAATTATAGATTGTTATAAAAATTTCTAATAGCAAAATTTATAAAATTAATTTTATAC